GCGGCGGGGGGGGGTTTTCCCCCCCCGCTGTATGTACAGCCGTAGTTCGGCTACCACAGCAACTCCTCACGAGAGACCTGACCCCCTCACCCTTAGCCCAGCACATGTAGATACTCGCTCACAGCTCTCTCCACCCACACGCACGCACCCCGGCCGCACGCGCAGGCGCTGCCGGCGTTGCAAGCAGCAGTGCCGGTAGAAGGAGCACCCGACGGGGCTGCAAGCAGCACGCCGCGAAACGCCTCCTCCTCCGATGCAACAACGCCCCCGCCGGCACAGCCGCTTTGGTCGGAGAATCTTTTGACGGTGATCGCCAACGGTCTGGGTCTGGAGCTCGAGAGGTCCGGTGGGTTGGCGGGGTGCTGTGTTCCCGGGATGTGGTGCGGGCCTCGCGGCTGCTACACGCTGGCCTTCGGGGACACCTTTTCCAACTACGGCGGGTACGTGGGAGTCCCTGCGGACGACTACAGGTGAGATGTTGTGCGGCTGCTGCTGGTTCGTGTCCGGGATTGAGTTGGTTTAGGGATAGGGTTAGGCGACGAACGACCAAGGCAGCGAGCGCCATCTGCATCCCGTATTTCTGGATTGCTTGTAAACGTTGGAATTCCCCCACATCAACAAGCAAAACACGCTAGGTTTCGTGAGCACCACAATGTTTCGGCTCTCCGCTTAGGAGCTGCGACCATTGCACACTTTTCTTTCCCTCACCACCGAGGCCACCCCCGCTGCCTGCCGTCCTCCATTCCTTGCACACCAATTTCAATACGCACGATATGCTCTCTCCTTTTGCTCAATGTGTAACCCCCCCCCCCCCACTGCTGTCTGCTGCTTGCACCGCTGTCCGTCCAGCATATACACGTGCAAAGAGCCGAGCGTGCCGCTCGCGGCGCCCGTGGACTCATCAACCCCGGCACCAGCGGTCAACGGTTCGGACCCGAGCCACGCTGCCTCTGCCCACGGCAGCACAACCGCAGCCCTGCCGACACTTTCTCCTACGGCTCCTGCCGCGGAAGTGGGAGAGGAGGCGGGCGACGGTTCCCCAGCCCCGCCGGTGCGGCCGACGGTCGTGTCCGTGGGGCCCGAGGTGGTGAAGGCGGGCGAGGCCCTTATGGTGGTTGGCTCCGGGTTCGGGGAGGCGGTGTCGGACGTGCGGGTCATGGTCGGCGGGCGGGATTGTCGGGACCCCGAGCTGTGCCACCTGGTGTGCAGGCCGTGCGGCGAGGAGGACCGGTGCGAGTTCGACGAGATGTGCATGGAGGACGGCCTGTCCAAGGAAAAGGTGGGCCCCATGTGTTTCTGTATGTACGAAGGTGTGCATTTTTTATCGTAAGCATCGATCGTGCTGATGAACGAAACGACGTCATTTTCATTGCGGTTGATCACACGAAAAAGACCATGAGCTGGGACCCCGTGAGGGTGTGCGTGTGTGTGTAACCACACCCTGGACAATATACAATACAGTCAATGCATATCGATACGTTCCTTTCGTGATACGTCACGTACTGGTGGCTGTAATACGCATTGATATGTTTTCTTGCCAGGGTAGCGTTCTGGGAATATGTATCGATTGGCAGTTCGTGAATCTACCTCTTGCTCAATGTAGACTACGGTAGCATTTTTTTTCAAAACATGTTGCAACGACCAATCGGTAGTGCTCCACATGTTGGAAAGTGCAGCACGGGTCAATATGATGCAAAACATCGACGGAAAAGCAGTTGGTTCTCACGACATGCATCGATGAGATGTTCAATGATGTGTTGCTCTTTGCAATGCATATCGATACAAACAAGTTGTTGTGTACTGCTCTCCCGATATATATCAATGTATTGTATCTGGTATACAATGTATCTGTAGGTATGACCCGGTACGTACCCACTGTCGCTCCCCCAAAGCGTACTGATTTGTAGGGCCATTATTATATAGGATTTTCTATAGGATGCATAATATATTGCATTTAGAGTAGTGGTGGCCATGTGCGGGGCTGTACCATTTCCCTCATTGATTGCCCTGACCATTCGTCTTGTCGATTAATAAACGTGTAGAACACGAGGAATGGTGGCCCATGTAGTGTGGGCCGAGGGTGTGGCCCTTACACCCTGGACAATACTTAGGCTAATCGAATGTTGGTCTAACAATATAGTTGAAATTTCGATAGTCGATCGTATGACAGCAGTAATCAATATGATGGTTCCAGGTGCATCGATATGTACTGTGAGCAACGATAGATTGAAGCAAAAGACGCAACACATTTTTGCTCCCGCGATAGGATAAACTACAAGTCTTCGATACATATCGCTTCGACCAGCACGCTTTCAGTTGTTCGTCGATGGATATTGCAAGGTACGATATGTTTTTGCCGAATTCGATTGATACATCTTGGAGCAGCAATACATTGATGATCGTAGCGATCAATATCTATCCATCGTTCAAACACTATGTTGATACATATCGTACGCTGTAACTATTGTCAACGCGAACGAAAACATGCCCCCAAAACTTTTTCGCGCTCCGCGCGAAATAAATTTTATGCATGTGCAAGGTTACTGTTAACGCCATAGGGGGGGGGGGGGGGNAGTCGTGCATGCCGTAGTCGTTAGACCATTGACCTCGCATCCCTACAAAGCCGGGACGGAGCACGCCGGGTTCTCACCGGACCAGGCTCTCACATCACCAAGCGCGAAGCGCCGTGAGATATTCGGCGAGTCGCATGAAGGGTGCGCTGCATCCTGCTAAGGGTTTTCGGCATCTTGTGCTTACTTCCTTGCGTACGGATGACAGCTGCGCATTAATTTATTTATTTTCTGGTGCTTTCACTCCCAGAGACAGTTGTAAGCACTGTGTAACTGCCTCGAGGGTGCTTGACCATTTTGACACAACGTGGTGCGATCATCCCCCTTGCGCGGATCGAGGGTTCTCCACCCCGCAAGACATGATCTACTCGACCACCATTATGGTTACCGCCAAAAAAAAAAACGAAGGTAAAAAAAAAAAACGGTAACCTGGTACCGCCATGGGGGACGAACCAAAACAAACGAACGGACGTATCGATTGCCTGGCACTCATATCGATCGATACTTTCCGTCTGCATTGAGCCATGCGATATCAATTGATGATACCATGTCCACTAACACTTCGCTTGAACCAATGCATGTTGATCGAATTTATCCCAATATATTGAACCAAACGATATCAGTTGATACCAATTGTATACGGAGTATATCTTGGTAGCAATATGTAGTGGTAGATATTTTCGCGTTATATTGGGGCAATACCATGTTGTTCAGGGTGTGGTTGTGCACACTCTGACAATTGTAGCGCTCACACGGCTTGCCGGGTAGTGTGGTGCCATTGGCATGTTGGCGTGAGCCTATGTGTTGGATTCTCTCGCGGAGCGTGCGGGCAGGTTGAGTGTTTCGTGGAGGCAAGTAGTGTTTTGAGAGTCTGCGATGTACGTCGACGAGGAAAGACGGGCCGTTTTTTTTTTTTATCATGGCCACGACGGTTTCACCGCTTCAGCTTGAAAAGTTGTACCGTAATGATGGCCGCCGCGCCGTGTCACCATCTTGTCTATCTGGCGGATATCCGTGCCACGCTACGGTTCTGCCTCACGGATCGGATGGCTTGCCTCTCCCCGCTGGGCGAACGCCTCCCCTGAATGATTGCCGTGTTTGTTAACGATCACGACACGACAGGTTTGCCTGCCGATATGCGACGGCACGGAAGGCTCTTGCCCTTGCGACCACCGCTGCCTGCCGAAGCGCTTCGAGCTCCAGGGGGAGCCGCACAGCATGGTGGTCAACCTCTGCCGACCACCAGACGCAGGCAAGTGCCTCCGACACCACGCACAGTACTCACGATCAACGCCCCCCTGGATCAGCGAGGTGAACTACCCTGCGGGTCCTGGTTGGAAAGGTCCAAAAAATGTGGATAATCTGCAGGGGCTCAGTGGACGGCATCTCACGGGTTACCCGTTTCTCGTCGGAACAAGGGTGACGCGAGGGGGGGCAGTTCTGGGTTCGGCCTCGGATGCAATGCTTGAGGCGGCGCAAGAAGTTAGTTGCATGTCGAGTTATTTTTTCTACTCAGTATAAATGAAGCTGCGATTCTCATGCCCCCCCCCTCCCCGTGTTGGCTCACCGAATACACTCGCCCCCCTCGCGCCACTCAAAAGATCCCAATTTACTGTGCCACGGGAGCGTGCTTCGCGAGCAAGAGCGAATACAGTGCACCGTTCCGGTGTTGGTGTGGGATCAGGCGGAGACGGAGTCTTCCGATAGAGCGGGCGTGGGACTGGGCCAAACGCCCTCCGTCCGCAGGGGAAGACATCTCGATGGTGATGGCCGGCGTGGGGGTGAACGTGTAGAGGGTGGGGGCGTAGTACAGGGCGAGGGCGAGGAGGAGGAGGAGGAGGAGGAGGAGGAGGCTGTCTCTTATACACATCTAGATGTGTATAAGAGACA